CAAAATTTGTTGACACGCGCACCGGGTGAGAATAGCCACAAGACCCGCCTGCACTATTCTCACCCCGGGTGAGAATAGAGGTGGCCAGCGAGTAATGAGTTATTGAGTTCGCTGTGTCATCATAGGCCGTCGTTATTCGGACTCGAGTCTGAATAACATTTTTTCATGTTCGGACTCGAGTCCGAATAAAAAAAATTCTTATTCGGACTGGAGTCCGAATATGAAAATTTTTTTATTCGGACTCGGGTCCGGGAAAAAAGGAAGTGTCTTCGCTCTATAGATCTAACGTAGTTCAGTGCTTCCAATTTTCCGCCATTTTTTAGTTTCCCCCACACCTTTTCTGCCGATCCGATGCCCGCCGCCTCATTGATACGCCCCCCCCCCCCACCCCCCATGTTTCCCACTTTCTTTGTTGTAGAAAAAGGTAAAATTGAAGATTAGCAGACCACCTGGCACCTGCATATTATGTGCTGTGTAAAGAAAAAAGACCGATTCGTTCAAATACACAAGCCTGTGTCATATCGATTGTTTACCAAGGAAAAGTTGTGTTGGTGTGTAGAGCTGAGCATACGGCAACTTTTGATTCCATAGACCAGCGCACAATTCATTACGTAGATCTACGTCAAGACTAGCTTATAATATTGTAATAATGATCAGTTGCCGGAGGGGAAAAAGACTGACACGTATGCGACGTTCAACGCCCGGACCGATAGTGCTCCCCCACCCCCCTCCCCGACACGCACACAGCCACACGTGTGCAGGCCGCCCATCCGACCCCGACACACGCTAAGGAGCCATCTTTAATTGCTTCTGATGACCTCTTGACAAATAAACATTTATTAGAAGCAATATAACTATTCAGGCCGGCCTCAAATTCATCGTAAGATTAAAACTCGGCTCCTGCACAAAACGCCTTTTTGCCCGAAGTGATCCCGGTCTCTACCCAGCCTGAGGCGAGTCACGAGTGAGGCAGGACAGGAAGCCGGATTCACGAGTCACAGGAAGTCGGAAGTGATGTCATGCTGGATAAGAATCAGAGTCCGAATAACATTTTTTCATATATTCGGACTCGAGTCCGAATAGTCACTTCGGTCATCATAATTAGTTTTTGTAAGTTTTGCGGCATTTGCAACACAATACAGTAGTCTCCGCCTAAATGAATGCCATACAAAAGCACGCTCCGCTCAAACGCACGCTTTCGTCATCTGACAGGTTTTTTACTAGGCTATATAATTTAAACGTACAAATGCACGGTCACTCCCTCTAATCGCACGCTCCGATCTGCGAAACACGCTGACAAGTTAAGCTTGGCAAGGTCAAGGGGGAATTTTCTCTACAACCTGCACAGCCTGCATAAGACAAGCCTAGAATTTACTAGAAAACCGGATATTTGGTGAGACTTCCTCTCATGCCGTACAAAGAGAGTGATGGACAGCGTTTTCACACCCTACTTTCCACTGACGCATAGGTCTCAGTCTAGGGCTGGTCAGTTAATAAAATGTTTAGGGGGGGATTGGGACTGAAAAGTTTTTTGATTGGTTACTGTAAATGTTTCTTTGAGAGAAGGTTTCTGACTGGTGTTTAAGTGACTGCGTGTAATGTTTAGTTAGATCTAGGCCTGATGCGCGACTCGCGTAAATGCCGTTAAACCCTAGACAGGCCTCTAGGTTTAAAGAGTAGCCAAGTAAGCCTAATAAGCTGCGCTCAAAGAACTTATATAACGTAGGCCTACTTGTTCAACGAATCACACAAGAGAAAATGTTTCTCTGAACGCAGAGAGTAGAGAGAGATTCTGCATGAATTTATGGTCGTGGTTGGTCCGTTGTCTCTATGACTATGACCAACAGTTTCCTCTTAGGCTATCTGTTCCCGACGTTTATAGTGCATATCTATTTCATTGAGTCTGTCTTTCTCCCCCCCCCCCCATTTCAACGCCTTTGTATTCTTAACCCCTGTCGCAGAATCCTTTACAAAACAGTCAAGTGTCGTCACATTATCTGCCAAAATGACCCCCTTCTCCAAGGGAGGTCACTAGAGTAATAAGGAATTGAGATGACTGCGTCCTTTCCTCCCTTTGCAAAGGTTCATGTAAACGCACGCTCCGTATAAACACATGCTGAGGAGCCCTCCCGAGCACCGTGCATTTAGGTGGAGACTACTGTAAGGTCATATAGATCTAGATCTAGATCTAGAAATCTAAATCTAAATCTAAGTGCTAAAGATTAGAGTTGTTACCAGAGAGTAACATGCGCAAAAAAGAAGGATGTGAGAAAAAGATGATAAAAATGAAATGTTTGATATGACAGAAGAAGCAAGCCACACCGAAGCACCCGCCAACCACCCATATAATACAGGGTGTCTCTCGCTAGATGAAAATGCACCATGCCTAAGCTTAAATCTAGTCTATATATAAATCTACAATGGCACCGAAGTGCGCTGGTATTGAACTGCTCAACAAAGTTAGGGTAAGATTGAAGAATACCGGACCAGCGGACTGACTTTGCCTACGTCTCAACCTTAGGAATTTATGATTTTCCCTAGTTTTTTATATATCTCTCAATGGAGAATCTCGGACCGGTAGATCTATTCATTCATAATTTGTCAGGGGGGAGACCCCCCTGAAACCCCCACCACCCTCTTCCACCCCAACCACCCACCCCACTCACCCCACCCAGCCCACATTCTCGCGCAGTAATGTATACGGGTGGTCCGGTATTTTTCAATCTTCCCCAAAGTTAGACCTACACACAGTGAGGACGTCAAAATGTTGTCTACACAAGAAAAAGTCGAAATAGTAATTTTGGCAAGCAATTTAAGCCAGCGAGATGCTGCAGATGAATTCAATCGTCGGCACCCAGACAAGCTGCCCATCTCCCACACCACGATGGGGAGATTGTATAAGAAATTCAAAGAGATGGGAAGTGTTAAGAATGCCAAACGAACAAACACTGATCCATTGCCCGATAGCTGACAGGCTGACAGATTGGCAAGATTTTTTGTCTTGCTCAATCAGTTCACAACGCCAGATAGCTGGAGAGGTGGACACAAGTAAAGGTAGGCCTACCATCCATCGCCTGCTATGTAAGAATAATTTTGGTCAACCTGTCCACAGACTCCACGAGGATGATCTGAGCCAACGTATGGTGTTTTGCGATTCATGGGCTTTGTCTAAGTTTGATGAGAATGCAGACTTTGGCAAATCAATTCTCTTTTCCGATGAAGCCATTTTCTATGTCACTTGTGATGGTAATCGTCAGAGAGAACCGATGCTGGTCACAGGCGAACCTGCACTTAGTGGCAGAAAGCAGAGAACATGGATCAGGTCGAGTAATGATCTTAAAGACTGGTTGGTTGGACCCTTTTTCTTCAATACCGTAATGGGGGACAGTTATGTTCACATGTTGGATGAAGAAGCCTTTCCATCTCTTGTAACACCTGATGGTGACTTTCCTGCTTACTTTCAGCAAGATGGAGCTCACCCACATTTTTCAGTCAAAGCAAGAAGGTATCTTGATGCACAGTTCCCAGGAATATGGATAGGTCGTAGTGGACCCATTGAATGGCCTCCAAGAAGTCCTGACTTAACTCCTTTAATATTGTACCTGTGTAGTTATGTCAAGGCTCTTGTCTACGAAGGCCAACCACAAATAACAACAGTCAATGAATTCAGAGAAAGAATCAAGAAAGCTTGCGCTAGCATCAACCATGCTGTTTTACACGCCGTGTTCCGTGAGTGGAAGCTGCAACTCTGGATGTGCTTCACGCAAGAGGGCCTCAATTTTGAACAGTTCCTGTTAAGTGGAAATTAATAGACTGCGCTTTGCTCTATAAGATACTTTCTATAAATATGCACTTTAGTACTATACAGTTCATGCCCACATGTATTTTCCCCATGGTGCGTCTAGCGGGAGACACCCTGTATGTTTAATATCAATATTCATGGCATAGCATGGATATATGTATAATATATTAAACAAAGTGACTATTTCTCAGAACGCTCGCGAAAATAAACTTGATCTGTATTTCTCCTAAAGGTTTCTGTTCTCAAAGTTTTATGGTTATTTGCGAGATTTAAGTGTTATCTTTCATTCTGCCATTCTGTGAGGACTGGGAAGAAGCATTTTTTACATCAAATTCAATTTCTAGAGCTTGAGATTTTAAAATGTCTGAATATTCAGATAGTTCTACTTCAGTTGGGATTGGGGCAACGTTCCCGGACTATAGGGCCTACTTCATTTGAAAATATGCCTTCAAAAGGAAATGCGAGAAAACAAGACTGCTCGACCTTGGCAGTAACCTGTTTTGCATTTAGTCACCCCTAAAGCACTAAAATCCTTCATGTAAACAAAACCAAAAAAATCCCTCCGCGCCCCCTCCCTGATGGTGTGTAACTAACCTTTTAAAAAAAATCTTTCTTACGTAAGTTTCTAGACATAGGCGGCTTATATCTACCAAAATCTGCATGATTCAACAGCCTAAGTGACAGTATGACGGCGTTTAGGTGTTTGAATCACATTAATCAACGCCACTCGACGAGCGCTAATGGTCGCTTGGGCATTTGAGTATTTGACAAAAACAAATCATAACTGTTTTAAGAGTAATTATGAAGTTAAGAGTAATTATTACAATTACAATGTATTTGGTTGGGTCTTCTGGGGAAGGACTGTTTTTGGCTTCATGGAATTGGTAAAAAAGATTATTCTTTTTAATGTTCAATTTGTACTGGATGTTTTTGTTCAGTGTGTATCAAAGGCAACGAACGTTTGTGACAACGAAGTTGTTTTTGTTTCAGCCAGGTCTGAATGGTCCAGAAATCGAACATCAAAAGGGGATGGGGGGAATATTGTCTTGCTTTCTTAAAAACGTTCAAGAATATGCATAAAAGCACATAGACCACGCCATTTTTTCCAAGCCCTAACGATTACACTGTGTGTGCTGTCCAATTCCATTTGCGTTTGTTTCTTTTCAAATTATTTGTGTTCAACAGTTTTGTTCTATCTGGTACAAATGTCGCTGATTGCATTTGACAAGAAAGCGTTTAGGTCTGATAAGTACAGCTGTCACTGTATATAATGAACACGGCATATTCATTGTCAGTAGGCTCCACCAGGAAGTTACTGACAGAAGAAGAGAATTCATTGGCAATCAATGGTCCTCCTCCTTCGTGCCAAACGTGACACTTCACATCTTTGGTTATCCAATTAAAAAAAATATAGACAGCTAATTTGGTCCTGTTATGATATTGTGCAGCAGATGCGTTCAACGCCATACTAGCAAATCTGCTTCCAAGAGCTTGTACACTCGACATAATCTGGTCCCATCCACTGGGTTTTGTGCAAGCTTCTTGTAAGATTCTTTCTTCTACCTTGCATACTTCACATTGATCATTCTGACATACATTCAACAACAGGTTGCTCTTTCTTTTTGAATATCTTTCTAAAGTCATTTGGGACAATGTATGACTCTTTCCGGTTTTTTTGGTACTCTCTAAGAAGGCCTCTGAGGCTTACCTGTATTCTGCCTGTAGTAATGGGAAAGCAACTTCATCAAGTTAGCCCCAGAATTATTTATCACAAAATTGCTTGTCCTCTTATGCTCACTGGTAATTTGACAATCGTGGAGCTACCATCCCAAGGTCATGTAAACTATCTTTGCGACTGTTACGAATAACCACTGTGGGAGGGCAGTTGTATACAAACACATTGTTTTGCATGTAGGTAGAATGTATAAGATTTGTTTCAAATTGAAGTGTAGAGCTGGAGAGTTGAAGTTGAAGGTTTGTTGAAGAGAGAATTTTCAGGGCGAACATGTTTATGAGTTGCTTTTTTTTTTTCGAGTGACAAATTAAGTATCATCTACCCCACACTGATTAACTAATCAATGATTCAAGAATGATACATGACATACACACACAGCAAGTAAATGAAGAAACGCGAAAAGTCACAATAAAAATATTTTCCAATAGTTGTACCGAATGTGAAATAAGCGCGTCTTAACTGTCAATCATAGACTCTAAAAAAAATCGATTCATCAGTAGCTTTTGCCACAACTTACCGACTTTGTCGAGTTAGTATTAACTTAAATATTCTTTGATGCCATCTTGCCCTTTCTCAACTACACTACCAAACCTAGTGATAGATTACACAAACAGCCTGGACAAAATCTTCTGGCTATCGATACGGTTCGAACTTAGTCGAAGTTAGCAAAGGCAGCACTTTATTTTGATGTTACCCTCAGTCTGTTTTGACAAAGGCCACAGTCGTGTGAGTCGCGCCGCCTACGAGACAGGTAAACACCTCAACAAGCCGCTGAATCTGCGTGACTCAACTGCCCTTTCGCCATCGGGCTGCAAAACTGGCACTTGGGCGGTTGAATCATGTGGAAATTGGGCACTGGTGTGATATAGGCGATTGATTTACTAAAGGATTGAAACACATTGCAGTAATATTTCAAACTCAGGATTTTAATATAGGGTGTATCAAAGGCATAAAGGGGTCAAAAAGTGCTTTTCGAAAATTTTGTCTCTGAGGCAGGCGGTTGAATCACGCGGCTAGCGATATATATTTATAATAATAATTATGTATCGTATAGACCTATTTTCTTTTTGGCAGTATTGGCAACACACTGTGTTCTCGAACATACGCACTCGCATGGATGTTTTGTAAACACACCCACCATACAGTGAACAGATATTCAGGTCCCAAACTTTATCGTCATGCAGTTTTCTTTACAAGTGTTTAAGATACGTATATAGTGAAATTCATACATTATTTCATATGAGGCATTGAGGTGAAATCTGGCGCTCGTCAAAATAATGAAGTCGAAGAAAACAGCATTTTTCCGGTGGTTGGCAATTTTTTTCTAATTTTGTTTTTTGGCTCAACACCTTTTATTATGTCTATTTAAAAACAAATTTCTCTCTGGATTTTATTGAAAAATGTTAATTTAAGGCTTTAAAAAATGTAAATTTTCTTTTCCTAAGTACTCTATCGGTATGTTACCAAACTTTGGCGGTCATTTTCTCGATAAATTTACCTCCGAAAACAGGTGACCCCGACCTTCTTGAATCGGAAATATCTCGACTTCTATTCAAGATAGATGGGTGTTTTTTTCATCACACACAAGGCAAATGAATAAGCTTTAAGATGATACAATTAACTCAACATGCCAAAAAATTGACAAGTGCCTGATTCCACTGCGAAGTGACACAAATTATTTTTGCCTCTCACCAATTTGCCATATATGTGCTAGCCCGTATGTGTTTCTCGTCTCATTATTGATATGATGCATTAATTCAAGCTATTCTTGTCTATGCATGATCTGCTGGCTGTGAGAATACACAGATACAGGAGAGTGGATTTAAATTACAAAAGGAAGAAGTGCTCAGTTTTTTAATTACATATATGTTGAATGTGTAGATTTTTCTATGCATTGTACTGTAGAAGCTAGTTCTGAGATAGGTAAACTTTTTATTTCGTTTGCAGTTGCACAAGTGAAGCATCACGGAGCAGGGAACCTGACTGGTGACCTCAGGAAAGTCAAGGACACTGCTGCAGATTTTCACAACCTGACAATGAAATGGAATGCTTTGAACTCGCAAGGGATGGACATCGTTACAAGAATTGCGAACATCAAAATTGAAAAAGTGTATGTGTTTGATTCAATGAAAAATTTTGAAATAACTAATTTGGGGTTGGGGTTTTTTTTTTGGGGGGGGGGGGGGGGGATATCGAAGCTATGGAATGTGGATGGAGAGTAAGCTGCTTATTATTTTGCCCTATCGAGGCTCAATATGCTTCCACTTCCATTGATCATTGAATCAGATACAGGTCGAAATTGTTCAAGACGGCCACCCATTGCTGAGGAGAAAAATCTTTTTCTTAGTCACAGACAGGTGGATGTTCTGGACAGTGTCATATTATGATTAAAATGATTTTGAAATGGGATTATATATCTCTCTTTAGCTGTAGTAGGAATTGAGCATATTTTAGAAAAAGAAATGCCCAGCAAAAATACTATTTTTTATAATTATTATTAATGTATAAAAATAATTTGGGTAAGAAGTGACCGTTTACACAGGGGATTGTGTTGGGCAGGTATATTGTTATATTTGATTTGATCCTGAAATATGTCGCTTTTGGAAGGTCGATCTTTGTGGTGGTTCACAGTGTAACAGAATAGCCTACTATCTGACTTTGCATCTTTGTTGTTTATGTTATATTATAAATACCGTTAATTGTCAAGTGTCTTTGTGCTTATTTAGCAAATGTTAAAGAGCATGTGTGATGAGTGTCAACCGACTATTTCTTGTCAGGTTCAACGTACAAGACTTGAGTGAAGACAGCCAACAGACACAGCAGCTTCCGCCAGAGCTGAACCCATTATGTGACTTGCTGAGTGGTGTTGTGGATGCCATGGTCAGTTAGTGGACACTGAGAGTTTGCTCTGTTTAGAAGTCTTGTGTAGTATAAATCAGTCCAGTTTCATAACTACTATACTGCTTTGATCTGCTCTTGGATTTTTGCAGCCTTGAAAATTTCAAGTAAATCTTATAAGTTTTATTTCTTTGTTCTGGATTAAGGATTTTGGTCGTTTAAGTGTGCTCTTTAAAATTATCCTAAGTTATTTCAGGTTATTGGCATATTTAGCTAATGGCATGTTGTTCTATCTTGGCTTGTTGCAAGATGTGTGATATACAGAAGTTGATTATGCCAGTTTAACGTTTTAACTCACAGCTGATGATTTGTTGAGATGGTTGCAGGCCTCAAGTTTCTACAGAACACAAGGTGGAGAGAAGGGTTAACTAGAACGGCAAAGAAATATTGCTGCATTTTGTATGACAAACATGTAGAGGACTTAAAGTTTATGATAAAATAAAAAATTTGGCTATGCAGCGGATTGACAGTCTCTCTTTTGTGATATTCTTCTTCTGCTTGTGGATATGTTTTCACTGCTTCTTTTGTCCTTGCCTGTCCCTGCTGAAATGTGACTGTTATCATTCGGGCTAGCCATGAACTGATATCTAACTAAGCATTTTGAAGCAGAACTATGCCACAAAAAATCTTGAAAACGGGTGCGCTTTGGTTTTGTTCTTAACAAAACTTGTTTTCCTCTGCTTTGTGTCGTTTACCTTTCATCGTATCCTTTGTGTAATTTCAGGAGAAAATAGAAGTGAAACTGAGAAGCAAAGTGGAAATGATGGAGGGCCTCATTGCGCTGAAACAGTTTCAGAAGCTCAAGTCAGAGTCGGAGAGTCCTGTGCTCTTTGTGACCATGACGTTGCAAGATGTTGGTATGTAGAGCTTGTGTGCGGGTGGTTGGAGGGTGCTCTGATGTGGTTTGTTCCTTCGTTCCTGTCAAATATGTATGGCCCATATCTCTCCTCCTTTCTGACTTTTTGTAGTGTTTGTTACTTTCTTGGAACACCTCTAATGTTCGGCACATATATGAATTAATTGTGCTGCAAATGTGTAAAAAGGAATGCCATTTTTTCATGATTTCCGTTGTTATGGGCATTGTCCATTCTTAAATCCGTTTTCCTATATCCACGCAAAAAAAATGTACAGGAAGCCGATTTTCCATTTTGTTTTATATACGGAGTGGCACGAGGATCCAAATTTTTAACCTACGGAAGTATACTCTCTGAATCAAAATGTGCATGATCAACCGGATGTTTAGGTCCAATTTCAAATGTAGGCCATGACTAGCCTTGCTTCGTTACACGCTAAATCTAGTCTCTAAAAAACTTTCAGTTATTTTTACAAAAGTCCTGTGGCATCCCTGCGTAAAATGCTTAGTATAACAAACAAGACCTTTTGTTGTTTTTTAAAAAATTACCCTTTTCTTTTATGAATTATATGTGAGTGCCCATGATTCTGGTGGGAGCTATGATGTGATCTGATCCTTCTACTTGAATTTCATCTTGATGTTATTGTCATAACACAAATCTAATCTGTTTCTCGTGGTATGTGGCTACTTTAGAATTATAAAGTTCTATCTGCTCAGTGCCTAGTTTTGAGAAATTTGACGTTAAAAAATTTGAGTTTCACAACATGTCAAGCCTTTTCAGATGCAATTCTTTGGATATTTTGGCAACGACTCTGAAAAACTCATACTCATAAAATTCTGACAGAGCAGATAGAACAGTTGTGAGGCAGCATGGTGAAATCAGGCGCTCGTCACAATATTAAAATTGAAGAAACTGGCATTTTTCTGCCGGTATTGATAATTTTTGTGAAATTTTTTTTGGCTGAGCACATTTCTTTGTGGATTTTACTTAAAAACGCTGATTAAAGGAGAAAAAATGAAGATTTTCAATGCTCTTAAAGCATTGGAATTCACTTAACTTTGGCAGCCATTTTTTCACTAATTTTACCTCTGAAACCAAGCAACTCCATCTTCTTCAATCCCAAATATATCTTAACTTCTATTCAAGATAGATTGGTATTTTTTTCACCCAAAGCAAGACAAAAGAACAAACTTTAAGTTGATACATATTTAAACTCCTCATGCCCATTTATTGTCGAGCGCCTGATTTCACCAAGCTGACTTACATTTGGTTTCTGACCTGATGGGTGAGTGTTTGAAGTTCTACTTAATAACCGCTCGGGTTTTGTATAATTTGAATGTTGCACATGATAGGCTCCATGTTGTTGTTCCTTTTTTATTTTCAGCTTGCACAGTACGAAGCGTCTACGAGATGTACAGCAAAGAGCTCCACTTCAAGAGACAGCTGTGCGGTCAGATCGCTCATGCGGGGACCAGAGACACCATGATGTTTTATTCTGTCAGTTGGATGCACCAACCCTACATCGACTGTGTGGCCCAAGATTTTCTCAGGGCTCTGCTCAAAGAAACTGGCCATGTGAAATGAGGTCCTACATGTTTGTGAGATTTTGAGGAAAGCAGCTCGGTGCATTGCCATTCCTATCTATGGCTCCCTCTAAGACTTGTTTAGGGCCTTACCTGAAGTTACTAGTCATGTGAAATGAGGTCCGATACGTTTGTGAGATTTCGAGGAAAGCAACTCAGTGCATTGTCGTTCCTATTGCTCCTCCCAAGACTTGCTCAGTGCCTTGCCTAAAGAAACTGGTTTTTTGAAATGAGGTCTGACAGCCTATGATGTATCTTGAGGAAAGCAGCTGTGTGCGATTGAAAGAGGTGGGGATCAACTAGTGTCAGAGGTATAAGTAGAGTGAAAAAAGACTGCAAAATTTGGTGACTTTCTTAGCTTTAGTGTCCTGGAAACGAAATTATTTTTTTTCTCCCCTTTTGATCACTGCTCAGTAAAATGTAAAATCCACTCAGAATTGTTGTTTTAAGTGGAAATAAAAGGTGCTGACACCCCCCTCCCACCAAATTGGACAAAAACTGCCGAACTGGCGGAAAAATGTTTTCTTTAATTTTATTATTTTGGTGACACCTCATTTCACCACAATACCACTCATATAATTTTGGGATGTAAAAAAATGTTCCTTTCTTTAATTAATTTCATTATTTTGATGAGTGCCTTTTCTTCACCACATTGCCATACATACAATTCTGGGATATTTCAAATCAAAGACTTGTTATCAGTGTTTTACTTTGTTGACCCAAATTCATCTAACAACCAATTTTAAGATGCTGTCAGATATAAAGTTGGCTTATTTTAGATCTAAGGACTGTCATGAGTGTTCTGCTTTGTTGACAGATGTTCAATCTGAAAATAACAACTTTCCTCTATTCTTGAACGACTTCAATAAAAATAAAATTACTGGAACAAGATCCTTTTGAATTTGAACAATGTTTTGTTTTCTCTTCAGTAGCTGCTACTTAAGTGTTCCCTCTTGTCGCTATTCTACATGTTCCCTTTATTACGCCCCCATCTGCACGATTTGAATCATTTAGGAGAAGGGCTGTGACTCTGCCTGTTTGGGGCCAACCCAATTTGAAAGGGAAACACTGTCGCAGCAGAAGAGATGGTATACTCAATGGATAGAATTCTATGCACATGGAAATAGAACAGGAGTTTTCTGTGTGCAATGCCAAATGCCCTACTGCTACACCACATGCGGCAGTCCTACATATTCTTACTTGCTTCGGAACCTATCTTTGTGAAAAGGATTACCCTCACTGTTTCTGAGGCGTGGCTGACAATGGTGCTCACCTCATGTGTGCAAAAATCTTTGCTTGACTAGACATAAGCAAACAACAGTCCTGCTTGCTCCAACAGCCACCTGTATATAAGACAATCACCTATACAAACAGCCACGTCCAATTCCCCCCCCTCCCCCCTCTTGAATTAAAAAAAACAACATTATAACTAGCTGTGTGATATGTCCTAAGACTACCACTTTTCTCCTCAGCAATGGGTGGCCGACCAGGTCAATTTTTGACCCCAGGACAATTTTTTACCGTAAGATTAAACAAATTCACATTTCGTTGTGTCAACGTTGCTTCCATATCATAATGCCTTCTTAGTTTCCGTCTTTGTCTTGAAGTAACTTTCAGTGTAGATCAGTGAAGCTACCACATTTTGCTCGGGATAGACTATTGGGGCACTAAAGTGAAAAAAGGGGATTTCTTAACACCAAAATTCCTACCAACCTCGCCAGGACCTAGAACTAGAACTCTATAAGGGGTACCAACGGCAACAGTCTGAGACCACTTAATATGACCTTATTGTGTTGTAAATGCTGCAACACTCTTGCTAAAACTAAACAATAGTCAGAGGAAATAGAAATTTCTCTGGTTCAACAACATTTATTTACATACAGTGAAGTCAGCTGAAACAGAAATCTTTGGGATGGCAGATAATTTTCTTTAGTAAAGGGAGATTTCTCAATTCAAAGAGCGAAGATATAAATCAGGGTTTCTATTATTCTTTTGGTTTACTGCTGTTATCAGATTAACTTCGATCCGTTTCAGCAGACTACATTGTACTTCATGATAAACATTTAATGTTAGATTTAGTCACACAATAAAGTTTTAGTAAAAGTTTTACGGCACTTGCAACACAATAATAAGGTCATATAAGTGCCGAAGATTAGAGGTGTTACAAGAGAGTAACAAACACAAAAAAGAAGGAGTGGAGATAAAGACAATAGATGTTTGATAGGAAAGAAGAAGCAAACCACACCAGAACACCCGCCAACCACCGACACACAATAAAGACAAAAAAATCAAAACGGATGTCCGATATATGTCAGTTTATTCACCCTCAGAATACACTCTCCAAACCAATGACTTCTCGAGAGTAAAATAATATTCCAAGGGCAAAATTTGAATTGACAAAAACACTAATCTGAACAGTGCAAGGACACAAAGACTAACGTGATGTGAGGCACATCGCTAACAAAGTCGTTTCTTGAATCTCACCTTCCGTGTGGACAGAGGAATACAGACCAGCACAGATAACATTAACATGAAAAATTTGAAATCACGGATAGCTCGTACAATTTGCCATTCATCAACTGATATCTCTACAATCTTTCATTGTCGGTTATTTCAAATTAATGTCAAACTTATTTTTGTCAATCCCTGACGTGTTTTTTGTTTTTATAAAAGTTTAAAGGCACTTGCAAAACAATTAAGTAATACAAGTGCTGAAGATTAGAAGTGTTACTAGATAGTAAAATACAGGAGGAGAGACAAGAAGTCTGATAGGAAAGAAGGAATAAACCACACCAGAGCCCATGCTAACCACCAGCTCTCTCTGTGTCCAACAGTAATTGCTGGGTCGTTTGTAGCTTATGGCCAGTTGGCATGACAAAAGCCCACACATTCCCACAGCAGACAAGCTGGGATATATATAACAACAATAGAAGAACGGTAGAAAGAAGTGAGCATACCAGAGGCCCGACCAGCTACCCTCAAGTGGGAGACTGACACTGCCAAGTCATACACTTTCCCCAACCCAAATGTTGGTACCTTCTCCGTCTACCGTGTTATTGTGTATTGCATCCAAACACTACTCCTGTAGCTTCTTCACTTATGTTTTAATTAAAATTTAACCCTATCCAAACGTCGTGTTTTACTTTTACTATCGTATTCATATGACGTGGGGAACTCTGCCACCACTTTCAAAGAGGAAATTCACTCATTAATCCGATCAGTATGCTTTGCATAGCAGTCTGTCAAAATGATTTTTTGAGAAATACTGAAAGAGTCAAAGGGATCTTCATACTAGAAGTATTCTAAAATGTTAAGAATACAACCCCGGGGGTACAAAATGACCCCCCGGCATACGGATAGGGTTAAAAACCTCGTCTCAGCTTCCCCAACCAACCATAGTCTTTGATGCTAATAATTTCTCTTCAGCAGAACTTCAGTGTTTCTGTGGGTGGTTGGCGGATGCTCTGGTGTGGTTTGTTCCTTCTTTCCAATCAAACATGTACCATTATTATCTCTCCTCCTTCTTATCTTTGTATGTTACCCTCTAGTAACACATTTAATTTTGGGCACTACTATACCCTTAGAAGTGTTTGCAAGTCATTAAAACTCTTACTGGAAACTCTCCTTCTCACACACATATCCATGTACCTACGTTACAGTGAATCTCTAGTCTTATGAAAAGGATCACACCACTTCTGTCAAGAATTTTTCTACAGTTGTAAAAGAATGAAATTCAAATCAAGGATGAAGTTTAAATATAACTAAGGACATAAAGCTTTGAGAGGTGCACGAATGACAATGGCGCTCACCTCCAATGCTAGAAAATGTTTGTTCAAGTAAGTAAATAGTGAAATTGAAAATCTCGGGGAAAAGATTCTGTAGCTGTACAATTAAACATACAGTGGGAGTCTGCGTAGACCATACATGGTCTATTCTAATAGAGGAAACCAAAAGTAAACGAAACACACACACACCCTCCAGATTTTTTTTCTTAGCTATTACTATTTGAGCAGTCCCTCTGAACTAAAAATACTGCTAAACTCAGGAAAATTTGGTGGCCTCCCAGATTTCTGTTTAAGCTGACTCCACCATATTCTCACTTCGATGTGGAAACAATGTTTCTAATACTACTATATCATTATAATGCCATCAGTTTCTTGTATAGATCACTGTATATTAGCTTACTCTGGAAGATCAATATTTTGCCAGTTACAGACTTTCTTTTCTTTTCCTTGGTGCCATTCTATAACTTTTATTTAAGTGTTAGTCTGACTTTTGCAAAGGGTACTGTTGAGATTGAACTGAAAAAGGAGAAGTTAATACTCGACTTAACTTCCACAATATTAGATAACTTTCTTGCAATATTCATTTCCCATCTTGACCAATCATGTCGTCGATAAAACAATAAAACAACATATTTGTGTCTCTTCATGTTGCCATAGTGCCACATAAAATGAGACTATCCATGCTATTTCCGAATCTGTGGGACCGGCCACTTCATTGCCACAACACACTGACCAGGCGTTCTTGAAAAAAACTCCTGTGACCAACAATCACGTAAATAAAGAGGGGGAGAGTGGGAGAGACTGAAAACCAAAGGAACATTCCCCCATCTATCCCGGCACTTATTGCTTAACCCTATCCGTACGCACTGGGGTCATTTTGTACCCCTGGGGTTGTAATCTTCACATTTTAGAATACTTCTTGTGTGATCCCGGCACTTATTGCTTAACCCTATCCGTACGCACTGGGGTCATTTTGTACCCCTGGGGTTGTAATCTTCACATTTTAGAATACTTCTTGTGTGATAAACTCTTTGAAACTTTCAGTATTTCTCAAAAAAATCATTTTGACAGACTGTTATGAAAAGCGTACCCATCAGATTAACGAGTAAATTTCCTCTTTGGAAAGTGGTGGCACAGGATTCCCCACGTTGTATGGATACGATAGTAAAACACGACGTACGGATAGGGTTAAGTTGCTGTGTCTAGCTTTCCCACTGCCGAGTTATGTTATAATGTGTGAATCTATGGGCCAAAGGCCTTTCAAATCAATAAAATCATCTTGAAATCTGGCTTACCCATGCAATGAGTACCAAAGTTAAATATCCTAACTGAGTCTGAAAAATTGAAAAAATTAAGTTTAAGGTGCATCACTGAGGGCCTGCTGGTAGATAAAGGAACCAAAACAGGGAAGTAGTAGTCTCTGTGAGTATGGTAATATTGTTGACGACTTGTAGCCTACAGCATGGAGAAAATTATTTATATAGTGAAGTCCATTAAACCGGACACTCAATCCGAAAACAGCGGTAAACCGAATTAATATAAATTCCCTCATTTCTTTATCTTTCTTCTATTTCAGCTAAACCTCCAAAGAAAATCTGGTGGCCTTTGGTTAAAGCAGACTCCACTATAGGTACCTCCCACTTTGTGTACATGCCTCCATTAAGATTTCAGATTTAAAAAATGGAACACATCTCTTTCCCTCTCTTTCATTTTAATTTCTGTCTTGCTTTTCCTATGCCACACACATATATAGCTTATACCGGTACTCAAAATATCGAAATAAACCAAATCTCTCAACAAGGACTCATTGATAAAGTTGCCTTTCTTTTTCTCACTGTAGCCCCCTCCCCACTACCTTGTGGCAGGCCCTTCCCTTCTCTCGCTCACAATCAATGAAAATACAGGGAGACTTTTGTTGTTCCCATTAAAAATTACACAAACATACCATTAAAAATAAGCATAAAAGTCCCAATCATGTCAGTTTACCTAAAGAATACTCGACTTGCATTAGTGTAGTGCTAAACTGAAACGAGTGCTACATTCCACAAGTTCTGTTTCACTTCCTTCCAATTCAAAACCAAGGTCTCAAAGACAAATTTTTAAGTGTAAAGACTCCCTCATACATACAAGTTTCATCTTATGTAAAAAAAAAAAAAGAAAAAAGAAACAAAGAAAGAAAGAAAAAAGAACTTGGTTGTGAAAAAAGTGCTAACCAAGGCAGTTTTGTCCTCTTTAAAAAGTTCAACAGTGTGTTAGAGGAGGTTCCTCATCTTTTGATATGTTACAAAGCTTTTACTTTGTGCAAGTTCAAACTAGACAAGAAACCAAGGTAAACACTTGCACACTGTGATGCAGACTTTTGTACAATAATGAATTTTATAACAACCTACATCACTCCTGACCTTTTCCTACAAAACTGCAGTATGCAGAAACATTTTTTTTGGTCTCATATTTCAGAAACAAAACTGGAGAGCTAAAACAAAAGATATGCAGGAACTTAGATGATGTGCACCTTAAAAAGGGACCAGTACCTATAGTATTTTAAATATCTTTGTGACGTAACCTCTAGACGTGGTCCTAGTGACTTGCATGGTACCAACACTGAGCTAGGGAGAATAGCAAAAATTAGCTTGAAAACAGTTAAAAACCTGTCTAGCTGAGACAGATAAACTAGAAAAAACATCTTACAATTTATTCTATATGCAGTATGAAGTGAATAAATTTTCTAACATGTTAAATTTACATGCTATAATATATATAATATACTCAAGGCACATTGAGTCACTGTCATGTAAAACATGTCTGTAGTTACAATATTCAAGGAAAAGGGACTCTTTCACTTGAGAACTATTTTTTTTAAAAACTGACACTGAAACCTCTGTCCGTCTTAATGCCATCTGTTGCTAAAATCTTATCATTCAAGAAACGACTTTGATATATGTGCACTCGCATAAATATGTACAAGACATAATTTTCAACAGGAGACTGCATGACGACATTGTCAGTGGAGCTGAATATCTGCATGTGATTCCACACCAGCGTCCATCGTCAGTTGGTCCATGGTGCCAGACAGGAGGGCTTGCACAGTCTCCAGCGGTAGGTCTTGCGCTCCCTGCAGTTGGTACGTGTTCCCATCAGCACTTTGAATAATCAACGTACCATCTTCTGTTTGGTAGATATTTGTCCCTTCAGTCAACAAAGGCTGGGCCTCCTCCGTCTCCCCCACCAACGTGTCTACCAGTCCGACCTCTCCGCTGTCGGAAACCTGGTTGACAATTTGCTGAGGCAGGAGGTTGTTCAAGTCATCCCGACTCTCCTGGTCACCGAGAGGGGAGGAACCGTTCGTATCCCTCACGTCTTTCACACCGGACTCTCCAGGATCCCTAAACTGCAGGCTGGGAACGTCGTCGTTTCTGAGAATCTGACTGGAGATGGCCCCGTTGGTGCCAATGTTGATGGTGGTGCCAGTGAGAGAGCACAGGGCCTCCTTAGACGGGGACGACATGATGGGGGAAGATGGCCGAGCAATGTTGATGAAATCGGATACCGACGAATTAATGATGAACGTTGATGATTGCGTGGTGGTACTGGGGGAGAGGGAAGACAACACGCCCGACTTAATGCTGCTACCGTTACTTTCCTTCAACTTCACGGGCCCAAAGTCTGAGGTGAAGTCAGAAGAGCTGCCATTGATTAAGGAGATCCCGTGGACCCCGGGGTGTAGGTTGCCGTTGGAGAGAGTGTCGAGCGATTGCGGGTCTGACGGGACGACACAAGCCACATGCGAGGAGGCCGTGGCCACAAGAGTGGGGGCACTGCCATCTGCTGCCTGGGACTGGATGAGAGAGAGGCTGTCCGCCAGGCTGGCACCCTCCATGTGGGTCACTGTGGAGATCTGGGGGGTGGAGCTGCTGACTGCCGTGTACACCTCCGACAAACTGTCCGTTGAGGTGTTCAGCGGACCTAGCTCATCCTCCCCGGACAGGCCGAGAACGCCGGAGGACAGCGCTTCCAGGTCGGGGTCAGAAATAGACACCTGCTTCACATCCATCCCGCCGTCAGAATCATTCACAATTGTTGACGCACCAGCAATAAAAGAGTGCTCTGATGACTGTATAAGCGATAGGTGCTCTGGGTCTATCTTCAACACTGACTTATCTATGTCCACACCGCTGCCAAGAATTGGATGATGAGATGGGTTGGAAGCAGAGGCTACCACCACGGGTTTCACAGCAGAAACAAAATTGCTCGCCTCCGTGGAGAGAGATCCGTTGACTGCATTCCCCCGGCCGTTGACCAGTGGTGAAGAGGAAGCCTGCGAGGTGGTGGTGTCATGGAAAAGCTGCCTGGACACTTTCACCTCCGTGGGTTTCAGACTGAGGAGAGAACGAGGGGAGGGCGACTGGCGAGAGGGTGGAGTGCTTGCAGACTTGGAGGAAGAAGGGATGCGAGGGGGGAGGAGAGAAGTGCCTTGCTTCGGCCGCGATTTAGCAGCCATAGTAGGGCTTTGTTGTGGGGAGAAAATGACTTGTGTGGGCTGGCTGTTGGATATAGTCTGCTGAGGCTGTGGCTGGGGCTGCACCGGCTGTCGGACGATGACCCGGTGGGTGCCCACCCCTGTGCCAGACGACAACAGCACGGTGCTGTTCTGCGGATGATTCCCTGAGGGTGCCAGGAGGATAGGCAAAGGTTCGTGTTGCTGGTTACCGTGCCCAGCCGGTGCAGCAATGACCACTTTCTGCGAGCCTCCTGCACCATTTGTGGATCCCAGAATGTAAGGCATGACCTGAGCCGTGGACGCCCCACCCTGTCCAGTGTTGATGACCACTGGGACTGTCTGTGGTTGGCTGGCTCGGTGACCCACTACCGTTGTCTGACCGTTTGCCTGACCGTTCTGTTTGGCATTTGACTTGAGAATGTAGGACACTGCCTGGTGTTTGGATGCTGGAATTGAGATCTGAACAGTGGAAGTGCTGGGCTCCGACTTCACCACTGACACAGCCCGTAAAGGTTTGTACGCAGGAACTGACACTGAAGATGAAGACGATAAAGATGAAGATGATGACGATGAAGAAGAAGGTGGAGGAGGTGGCTGACTGCTGGTGCTGACTGGCTGGGACTTTGGTGAGGCTGTGGAGGAGGCGGAGTGTGAGGACATGGAGGAGAGGGACGAGTCAGATCTGTCCAGAGGCATCTTCTCATCGGAAGTTGCTGGAAGATGAGCCGCTATGGTGAACAAGGAACTGTTTGTGGTACCAGGAGAGACGGAGGATGAGGTAGACACTGCACCCTCGATGGGACGCCACGGGGAAAACGAGGACAACTTCACCCTCTTCGAAGGGTTCTCATTCTTATCCGGAGTGGTGAAGTCGTCAAACGTTCTTTTCAAGGTCGCGGATGTGGGGGTCGCGACCTGACTTCCCGCCTTCGTCTCCTCGGGGTCTCCATTCTCTGCCTTGATGACGATCTTGACCGGGACCCCAGGGGCAGGCTGTGGGGCAACGGCGATGGCCGCGGCCGAGAGTTTGTTGTGTAGTGAGGAGAATGTGTTCGGGTCGTCCTGAGGCATTTCCTCCACCCTGTAGGTGACACGCTCTAGGCCAAGACACAGGGCCATGGACGCGTCGGTTACCTGAAATACACGACACACCACGGTCAGGACATTTATTTATTGTTTGATAGAATGCCATGACTGACATTACCGACATCAGGACACGCCCATGGCTGCCGTTTCTCTTTGGTTTTAGTAAGAGTGTTACGGCACTTGCAACACAATAAGGTCATTTTATAGTTGTCGAAGATGAGAGGGGTGACAAAAGAGTAACAAGCACAAAGAAGAACAAGAACAGATAAGGACAATAGATGTTTGATAGAAATGAAGGAGCAAACCACACCAGTGCACCCACCCACCCCCCGCTTAGAGAATATTCAAAACTACAACACTGATAACTTCTAGAAGCAAGCCTTACACCAACACTTATCAACATGCATGGTGTCATGGTCAGGCTCCATTTCTAGTACAAAAAAGATGAAAAATAAACGCCTATGAGAAAAAAAAAAGACATTTTTATCTCAAGAATCTTGTTTCTGCTAGTCCTGCCAGTTGAATACAAGTCAAGATATTCCCAGTTGAAGGAGGTAGGAATCATCTGGTGTCAGAGGCAAAACTAGAGAGAAAATGACCGCCAAAGTTTGGTTATTTCCATAACTTTAGAGTTCATGGAAACTGAAAATTTACATTTCTTGTGCCTCTAATTCTAATCATCGTTTCTCAGTCAAGTCCACACAGAAATGTGTTTTTAACCTCTTAGCTGCCGTGCCCATAGAATTTACAGGCCTGAACCGTGTAGCCTTGTGCCTATGGCCCGTACAATATTTTATGCATAGCTGCCTACCCCTCTCTGTAGCTATCAGGGATAGCCTTGCTCAAAATCAGGGACATTGACTAATTATCAGGGACACCTTACACATAGTCGTTATACCTTAATACTGCACACCTGCCAACTCTCCCGAATATTTCGGGAATCTCCCAAATTTTCGTCGTTTTCCCGAGCAACAGAAATCTTGTTCAATTTCCCGAAATTCACACTACAAAAAAAAATTATAATGTCAATGTCGTCAGAATGCGAAACTGGACTGTCAGGCCTGAACCCTTGCACTATAATAGTGTAAATAGGTGAGTAAATCCTATGAGAGTAAGAGGAAGATATATTAATATTATTATTATTACTACTATTATGATTATCTTACTAACTCGTTCCCCGTCATAGGAGCCCGTGAAGTGATATATATAACTGTCTTCGAACTCACGGGCCACACTTAATTTCCCTGGAGTCGATCTCTCTTCAAAATTCCCAATTTTTGATTTTCGAAAGTTGGCAAGTCTGAAACTGGTTTGCCAAGGAAAGCTGTTCCATCGCTCCGTAAAGTTAACGAAGTGCGTAAATCTAGACCTAGATAGATCTAAATCTAGATTCTAGATCTAGGCCTGGATCTAGATAGCCTATCTAGGCTAGTTTGTGTGAATGCGGGTGCGACAAAATTAGATTGTGCTGGTCCCCTCTCGCTCTCTCATTAGGCCTTGGCCTTGTGCAAGTGATGTGTGTAGTGAAGGCATCGCGCGATGGTGAAGGTGGAAGTGTGTAGTACTATGTAGGTGTAAGTCTAGCCATCATGTGCGTGTAGGCCTACGGTGTGGTGGCCTCGGCCTAGGAGGCCTAGTGTGTGCTGTCACCAGTCACTGTCAGTCGCCAGTCATCATTGCAATGGAATCTGGTTCCCCTCTTCGCTAGGCCTAATTTTTCTGTTTTAGAAGTAGTATGCTTGCCAGGTTTTTATTTTCCGGGACCGTCGGTCAAAATCCGTATTTCCGGGACAACAACCATTTTTCAAGAAAATCCGTACAAAATATGGATGGCCGGGACAGTGGGAGGCTATGTTTATGGGACTGTGACATAGGTTGTTTTGATACCAATTATACGGGAAGTTACGGCTAAAATCTTGTAATTATTATTGGGCTACCTTTCCTTTTTATGTTTACCACCCTTCTCCCCCCATTTGAAAGCGTCAGATTCAGATTTTAGCTCAAAGTGAAATTTAGACCTAGATCTAACACATCTCTAGATTTAGATCTACCGTACAAAAATGATTTATTGGCAGTAAACACAGATGGGCATACAATATATATAAATATAAATATATTGTGGATTGGACGAGCATTGTATAAGGTAGGAAAAGCCTCCTGTCACTTTCTCTCTACCTGAGGACACCTACACAACCTGTATTCCCCTTTTTTGGGTCTCAGTTTACCATTACTCCAATGTGTGTTGTTTTGTTGTTTTTGGCATCATGTTACTAACTCCAACTTTTCTCCATCTATCTCTCAATGAAATCCCCCCCCCCCAAATTTATATCAATAGAAATGTGTTTCAATGTAAAATGGACATGCAGAAATTCATCAGAAAATATTCATAAATAGAAAAATTATGGGACGAAGAGTGGGGTCACCCCTGAGCAGCCTCGGTTCATGGGATTTCCCCCCCCCCGCACAAGGGCCTATTTACCTGCGTCATTGAAGAGGTTACATGGCCATATAAAAGGTGCTGAGCCAGAAAACAATAATCCTATAAAAATTGCCAAACTGGCTGAAAAATATCAGTTTCTTCGATTTCATTACTATGATGAGCGCCTGATTTCACCACGCTGCTTCACATATGATAAATAGCGCTCTGCAAGCATGATGCGATCGAGAAGAAAAAGAAGAAGCAACCCACCTTGATCATCTTGCACTGCAAATTGTCGTCCTCCAACTCCTCCGCGCTCAGAGGCTTCATGTAGTCGGAGCAAACCTGCTTCACCCGTCGCTTCAGGGCCTCAAACTCTCGGTAAACAACGTCAACCTGGGACGACAGACATTTGTTTGCTACAAACAAGACAAAACTATGCTATGCAAAAACTGACATCCATTTGTAATAAGCAAGACCAATATTACGCAAAAACTGAAATCCATTTGTAATAAACAAGACCAATATTATGCAAAAACTGATAACCAACATGATAACAATTACTTTGTGCTAGAAAAAGCTAGACAGACAGACAGACAGAAACAAAAAGCAAGGAAAGAAGTTGGACCTACAAATGAAAGCGAGGAAAGAAGTAGGACCAGCGAAGGACACTCTCCTACCACTTGCAACAGATGGAAATGACAGAATTTGACCATCAAGTTCTGATTACCTCAGACCAAAAAATTATCTAGTACCGATACATCAAAAATGAGTTATTGTCAAAGTTGTCAAAGTATTTGAGACCTGTGGTTTGGATCCTCCCTTCTCCGACTTCATGAGCAGAAACTCCCACAGGGAAACTCCGGTGACAAGTCTCGGCAACACCACCTCCATCAGTTCTTCATCTGAGCACTTTTTCATCAACTGACGTGATGAAGAGACAAGAAAAAAACAACATTCACAATTCATTGTTAAAGCACAAACACCTTCATCAGTTCTTCATCTGAGCACTTTTTCATCAAGTGAGGTGGGGAATAAAAAAGAAAAAAACATTCACTATTCATTGTTAAAGTAACTCCAACGACTATTCAAAAAGCACAAACACCTCCATCAGTTCTTCGTCTGAGCACTTTTTCATCAACTGACGTGATGAAGAGACAAGAAAAAAACAACATTCACAATTCATTGTTAAAGCACAAACACCTTCATCAGTTCTTCATCTGAGCACTTTTTCATCAAGTGTGGTGGGGAATAAAAAAGAAAAAAACATTCACTATTCATTGTTAAAGTAACTCCAACAACTATTCAAAAAGCACAAACACCTCCATCAGTTCTTCGTCTGAGCACTTTTTCATCAACTGAGGGGGTGAATAAAAAAGAAAAAAACATTCACTATTCATTGTTAAAGTAACTCCAACAACTATTCAAAAAGCACAAACACCTCCATCAGTTCTTCGTCTGAGCACTTTTTCATCAACTGAGGTGGTGAATAGACAAGAAAAAGAAAAGTATTCACAACTCATTGTTAAGGGGATCCACTGGTCAGATCAGTAAAAATTTTGAAAAAATATCAGTTTTCGGATTTTGGAGTATCTTAATAGATACCAATATCAAGGATCCATCTTTAGAAGCCTAATTCCTTTATCAAACTTATAAATAGCTGAAAATGCATTTAAGAGAGGCAGCAATGTAGGAAAATCTTCACCAAAAATTATCTCTCTTTGCAGTTTTCTCAGAATTGTTTATCTGACCAGGTTGCAAAACTATATTGAGTAGATCTCAGAAAGTTACTGTCAGAAGTGTTTCACATTTGGACACAATCTTTTATACACATTTCTCTATAACTTTACAGGAGCATTTTTGCTGTTTATGGTACACATTTGGAGTTTTAGGCCTGTTTTATTTTACAAAATCTTAAAACATTGGAGACCTGAATGTGGTGCACAGCAAGGACTGTAAGGCTCACAAGTCAGTACAGAAAATTCAAATTTGACTCTGTAAGGTTGTTCTACCTACCAACAATAATCGCCATGCCAAATATTAGGCTTCTATCTTGATGAGTGTTGATGATTGACAAAATATAAAATTGGTTTTAAAAATGCTGAACCAATCCTTTATTTTTGATGGTTCGAGATTGTTATGGCTAAAATCTTGAATTTTTTGCTTGGTAACCCTTTTTTGTACTATGTCACCCCCTTTGATGCAGAAAAGCAAGCGTTAGACCAAAAACTATAGCATTTGGGTGTTGACCATAGCTACACCCCCTTAAAGTAACTCCCAAACAAAGGCCTCCCCTAAGCTAGTCCAGCATGACACCACCAGGTAATACAAACCCTTTCTCTTCCACCCTGTAATATTTCTATAGTTGGAATGTCAATGAGAATCTATCTATGGACATACAGGCAGTTTCTATAGTTGGAATATCAATGAGAATCTATCAATGGACATACAGGCAGTTTCTATAGTTGGAATGTCAATGAGAATCTATCTATGGACATACAGGCAGTTTCTATAGTTGGAATGTCAACGCTGTATCTATGGCTGTAATGTCTGTATCAGTATCATCCCTCCCCAAAGCCTTTTCTCATCATTGAGACTTTCTGGTCAGTAAAACATGATAAACAGCAACATGCCCATGCCCTCATATGACCTTATGCAGTTGCGAGCACCGTAAAAAAATATACACTCCCTCCCTCCAGCAATATGCAGAGCACAAGCACGCTTTATCCAGCAGGAGCAAAATAACTTATCACCTCTGTTCTATTACAACTTCTTGTCCCTTGCACAGTGGGATAACACACACTGCAAGCACTAACACAAAATCAATATCAGACACTGAGGCAAGGCTCACAAGCTTCTCAACTCTCCCCACTCGGCCTATTATTCTGGGCACAAATACTGTCTGTGTATACACCAAAAACACACAAGACAAAAACTGCTGATACATCAAAATAGGGGAAAATTTTATCCACAAAAATAGTGAGAGATATAATAATTACAATCAATAGCATTTGTATAGTGCATTATATCCTCGCTCAACAGAAAGCTGTATGTGCTTTACACTATATTATTATCATCTCAGGTCAAACATCAGCGCATAGCATAGCTTCGTTCTGGAACTTGAGTTGTGGGAAGAAGAGTTGTTGAAAAGTTCAGTACCCTCTAGACTCCGTTCTACCACACACCAACGTCAAATTTGCATGTCATGTCTTTTTCGTTTTTAGTTTGAGTACGAGTTTTAGTTTTACTGCACTTTCAACGCAGTTAGGTCATGTAAGTGGCGAAGATTAGAAGCATTACTAGAGAGTAACGTACACAAAAAAGGAGAAATGAGGGCGATAGATGATAGATGGGAAAGTGCCTTTACATATTTGAAGGGGTTGTGAAATCCACACAACTACCACACAATAAGAATCAATCAATTCCACCAGGCTTAGAGGACTGGCAACAACTTAGAACAATTTCTTTACAAGTCAGCAAACTTGTTCTGGAGATTGCTTTGAAGAAAATTGCCTGCCATACAGTGGATTTTATTCTCAGGGTTCAAGATTGTATCATCTAAAAAGATGAACTGACATATTCAACACCAATTTTTTAAAAGCATCATCCCATTTATCCAAAATTTAAAAAAAATATGCAATCAAATTTGAACCTCTCAACTACTCAAAATCCAAATATAACATGCTGACTTGCCCCCTCATTGGTTTGGCAACAGTGCAAATCTGAAACTGAACAGCCAGCTTGCACAAAATAAAACTCCCCCCCCCCCCCCCCAACAATAAACAAATCAAGCAGGTCTCAGTTTCCTTGAGGGATAGCCGATATAATTAGAGCTGTCATTAACCCCATCTACTATATGGGAGGTATGCTGACAAAATCTGTCACTTATCACAATCCACAAATGGAGACATTGGTCAAAAATCGACACTAGGGTCAAATTTGTAGATTCTCTGCCGATACCGTATTCTTTAACTATAACATGCCTCTTATTATTTCATACTTATAAATTGTAAAAACTTCACCTATAAGTGAGAAGTATCTATTTCCATAAAAGGCTTGAACCCGAGAAATAACTCATTTTGTCAGCATGCTTCACATATCACAAAATTAACGATTAAAGATATGCAATAAAAGACATCCAACAGACATTTAACTGAACATTAAAACAATTTTTAAATCACCTCTTTCAACTTAGACTTCCGCCGGATTTGTGCATTGTATCGGAAATGGGCGCCCCTCCCCCGGAAGCCTCCCCTGCCCCTCCCCCTTCGGACGACGGGGGAGCTGGCACCGGTGGAGTTGAGGGAGTCCTGGGTGTTGGAATCTTCCGAGAAGTTGTCCAGGCCGCCCGCCTTGGGGCCCTCCGTGGGTGTGTCGGACATGAGGGACAGGCTGCCTTCCTGAAGAGAAGCATCTAGGGATAGAGAGAAAACAAGGAGGTTTAAAAATTGTTTAATCATAAAATGTTATACACCCTCATCAACACAATATAGATCTCATGTAGCATCGGTGGCCTCGTGGTTAGGCTCTTGGTCTCATAAAACCATAAGGTCATGGATTCAAATCCAATCAAAAGGCCCAAAGTGGTCTCCCTGGAAATGGCATTTTAAAACGAATTTTCCTCACTTCACCCAGGTGGGAATGTGTACCCAGCTATAAGAAAGCAAAACATCTCGACAACCTGTTAGTGTGTGAGCACATTTAAGGAGCAATACGCAGCTTGCAGTGCACGCAACCTGGGAAGCTGAGAATGTTTCTGAGTGTTCTACAATCTGCTGGGGTAATAATAGTTGTAAAGCGTGTACAGCATACTACAGAGCATGAATATGTGCTATCCAAATGCAATTATCATTATCATAATTATCATTATTTGCTTCAACTCTGCCTGGAGGGATCAACCTGGAAAGAGAGTGTGTGCACACATGCACACATTATATGTCATATACGGCTACAATATATTATGCAATATATTATATATACATGCAGTAGAAATTGTGTAATTGTATAATAAGACGGCCAACCAATGTCAAGGAGAAAAGAGGTTGTCTTAGATAGGTGGATTTCGTGGACTGTGATAAGATTGTACGAAACATGCAACAAGGGGAAGTGGAAGTGGCCATCTGTTCAGGTGATTGTCTTGAACAGGTGGCCGATTGACCAGTTCCAGTTCCAACTGTATATATAGAAACAAATGGGGGTGTTCTCGTAGTTTAGAGGTATGGTGTTCACCTTTCATTCAATAGGTCCCGGGTACAAAATCTTACAGCAACGGAAAACGTTCTTCTTTAAAAAGATCCCTTAGAGGTCCTAAAATCAATAAAAGAGTAGCCTTCGGCTGCCACCTGGGCAAAATTCAAAAATAAGTCCTACAAAACTAAAAATGCTTAATGTGTCCCAAACACTCATCGCTCATATGACCTTTGGCAGTTGCGAGCACCATAAAACACTTACCTAGAAAAAACAAACAAACAAACAAAAACAAAACAAATGCACGTACATAATCAAGCATGTAGGAAACAACGTGAAAGACATTACAGCTGGGACCTGGTGAGTGTTTCTTTTCATATTCTAGTCTCCAATATAAGGGACAAACTTCCATATAAGATAAAGAGTGCTCCCAATATCCATAATTTCATAACAGCTGAAGCATAACTTATTCAAAAATGCATACCTGTCATAACTATGTTAATATTTCTGGTATGTACATGCCTGAGAGTGAGACTGAAGCAATTAAGGGTGAGTGTGTGTGTGTGTGTGTGTGTGTGTGTGTGTGTGTGTGTGTGTGTGTGTGTGTGTGTGTGTGTGTGTGTGGTGTGTGTTGTGTATTTGTGTGTGTGTGTGTGTGTGTGTGTGTGTGTGTGTGTTTATTTGTGTGTGTGTTTGTGCATGTGTGTGTGTGTGAGAGAGAGAGAGAGAGAGAGAGAGAGAGAGAGAGAGAGAGAGAGAGAGAGAGAGAGAGAGGGGGGGGGAGAGAGGGGGAGGGCCTTTTATTGTTTGTTTACAGCCTTTCCGGTAGATTTTACTGTGGCTGTGAGCTTTTATTAGTATTCTTCATTTTTGGGGGTAAAAAATGTGTTCTTTGACTGAAAAAGCGATATTGGCATGTTTTTAGAAAATGGATATGAATATCATGAAGAATATTTCTTACTATAAATATTATCGTGGTTACTCCTAAACTCTACTACCATCATTATTATCAGTACTTTGTGTAGCAACATTTTTCCCTATGCTGCCAGCACTGCCACAGCGCAGGCGTGCCTCATTTAGCATCGCTACAGGAACCTTTGACAGTCTGTCTCAGCAGTCTTATCAGTTCTCTGCAGTCAATTATAGATTATCAGCTGACCTTGCACTGAAAGGTTTGACTTTTAATCTTCTTATAAAGCCAGAAGGAAAGGACTTGCTTTGGAGGAACTAATGCTTCATTCTGTTGTTCTCTGAAAATATTTTCTTGTTTTTGGAGGAGGACGAGGAGGAGGGGGAGAAGGAGGAGGGGGAGAAGAAGAAGAAAAGGACACGAGGAGGAGGAGAAGGAGAAGGAGAAGGAGGAGGAGAAGGAGAAGGAGAAGGAGAAGGAGAAGGAGAAGAAGAAGAAGAAGAAGAAGAAAAGGACAGGAGGAGGAAAATGAAAAAAAAAAAATTCTGATTACAAAAACATATAAATACTTAAGTTTAGTTACCTTTACTATCTTCCCCGTCCAGCGAGCCATTGTGTAAGGAAGAACTGCTACCATTTTCCAGCGGGGTGGAACAGTGGTCAGGGTTGAGCCGGTAGTGACGAGCCAGTCCCGCCTGGCCGATGTAAGACTTATCACACGTCTGGCACTTGTGGTTCTTGGGTTTGCCGGCGCCCAGAGCTGGGGAGGACAAAATCATTCATTAACACTGCTGCTAAAGAGGGTTTTTTTTATTATTTAAAAAAAAGTTTTAGTAGTTTTACGGCACTTGCAAAGTTGCAACACAATAAGATCATGTAAGTGCCGAAGAATAGAGGTGTTACAACAAGATAGTAATAAACACAAAAAAAAGAAGGCGAAAGATCAGGACTATAGATGTTTGTTAAGAAAGAAGGAGCATATCACAGGAACACTTGCCAACAACCCACAGCTAATGAGTAACAGGTAACATATGACAAAAAGACAGAGAGATTAGGACAATATCGTCCTTGTCTCTCTCTCTTTCTTTTGTTCGCAAGCATATCATATTATGTTTGATAGGGAAAAGAGCACTTTTTAGACATGTCCAAAAAAAAAAAAAAGATGAAGGCGGAACAGAAATGGGAAAGTGCAGAATCACGACCTACCAGTGGCACCTTCCTATCAGCCGAACTGACAGGTGGACCACGGGGGAAGCTCATGTCAGACAAACAAAGCTATACCACAACACCTC